GTATATAAAAATAAAATTTTCTCAGAGCAAAAAGGACCCGAACACCACATGAGGGTAAGGCAGTAACTGTGTAGTTACTGATGCAGTGTAAATCTCTTCAATAATTTCAATCACACATGAAAGTATGCTGCTGTTATCTGCAAGAGATTTGAGTTGAATTGATGCTTTTAATGACTTTGCATAAATCAGTAGGTTTTTCTTCATGGACTTAAGCAAAATAGTTCTTAAGACCAATATGCTTGCGTTACTTAAACATTATAGATATTAGTTTACAAACAAATGCCAATTGGCCAAATTAAGTGCAGTCGGTTTCTGCAAATAAAACGAGTTAACTCAAAGGTTTGCATATTAACATTGTATCAGTTAATGAAATAGAGTTTTTCACTGTAAATTTAAACAGTTCTGAAAAACCTAAAATGTTGCTACCGTATTTTTCATGGTAAAGTTCATAGCTGCCGGTATTTTACCGTAAATTTAACGGATTGTTTTTACAGTTAAATATACTGCTGGATCTTTGATGTTGTGGGTCTGCTTTTCTGCCGGAGGTCCTGGACATCTTGTTCAGATGCATGGCATCATGGATTCTATCAAATACCAACAGATAAAAAAAATCTAAACCTGACGGCCTCTGTAAGAAATCTTATAATGGGCCGTGGTTGGATCTTCCATATTATAAATGCTGCCATGTTGCTCCATTAATTGATGATTCACTCCTCTAAAAACAGTAGCCTACGTGTATTTATTTATTTATTTATGTTTTTATGAAAGTGACTGACAGCTCACAATCGACAATCTAATGGACTTTTATCAATCTATAAACTTTCAGTGTTTTTTTTTTTTGTTTTACAAACTTTACTCATCTAGTTTACTTTTTTAGAATAACAACAAAGTAATCAAAATAATATAAAATGTAAATAATCATGTAAAATAATAGTATATAATGTAAAATAATGTATAGCCTTTGCCTTACAACTTCACATACTGTAGGCTTTTCTCAACTAGTTATGTGAATCCTGGGATGCTTTCAACAGGATTGAAACACTTGGATAGCCTACTTGTTGGATCTCACAATCAAGTCCAACGCATCCATTAATAAATAACATTATATAATAGAAGTTATATAAAATATGTAGACAAATGTTTTTAAAATATATAAATAGAATGAGTAGTTTTTGAGAATTGTTCATGTTGGCAAAACAATTTTTTGTCTACGAAACTAATTCAAACATGAGCCTTATCAAAAGATTTTTGATAATCATGAGAAACAAATTCAGTCAAGGTCAAGTGTATCTAAACATTTGACTGGTTTCTGAACTTTTGGATGCCTTTTTGCATTATGTTTGGGCCATACCTATGCTAATGACGTCAACTAGAACATCATCAAGTAGCACAAAATGCTCAAAAAGTATTTGAGGCTCCTAGAGCAATTAATATGCCTGGACTAGTCAAAGTTTAGCGATAATATTAGAAGTATTTTTAAATGTATTGTCATATCTGTGTCCTCTTCTATTACATTGTTAAATTTAATAAATGAATTCAATCAGAATATAAAAATATATTGCTATTACCGATCAAATTAAATCAGTACCAAAGAAATACATCTTTGAATTTAATGAATTTAATTCTTAGTGTTTAATGCAGCTCAGATGAATGGATTTACAAAATTTTACATTTTGTTCAAATACGCTAATTCTTTGAGGAACAAAACTCATAAATCTGAGCACTGAATCACATCTTGTAACATTGGCTCTAGTATTAAACTGAACTGAATCAAAATTAAACTGACTACAGCTGAATAACAACATTGCTACCCATTGTAAACTGCCTTTACAGTATGATCGATCAACTACACACTGTCATTTATATGAACTGTCTTTTAGAGCTGCATTACAGCAGGTTCTGAACTGTCCATGTTTCCATAATTGCTTCTGCTATTTCCTGTTTATTTCTGTGAAGCTGCTTATTTATTGAACTATTGTATAAAATCAATGTCACATTTGCAATGTTCAGAAAAACAGCATTCTTGCCTGTGCATAACTACTATTTCATAGGCTTATAAGTATAAAAAAGAGAAACTCATTAAATAGCCATTTTAAAATAATTTTGATGACATTTCTACCCCAATATTAAGAGCGAGCAAATCTTTAGATCACATTATTTAGTGCAGGTGTGTACAATCCTAAACAACATTTCCAATATTATCAGTATTTTTCTAAATAGGCACTTTTTTTTTTTTTTGGCTACAAGCCTAAATGGAGTTGTTTAAAGTAGCCATGTGATCACAAATAAATGGGAGCAGTCACGGACAGTGCTTAATCTATGTCTCACGGAAATCGATGTTTTCTACATATCTTATCTTGTGTTTTGTCTGTGCATTCTCTACAAATAAGCAAATAAGCCATGCAGATGTTCAAAGGAACAGTGCAACCGAAAATGTGCTACAGTTTTCATACAACAAATCAAGATTTGTATCTTACATATCAGAGCTAGTACTGTTTTTAAGTTTGTCTTTCAAGAAAACAGTACCAAGACAAAGCAGGATCAATGATTGTGTGTCTTCATGCAGCACAGTATTGGTTTTTAGTTTATAAATGAATCAGTGTTTCAGCTGAGAGTAATTAAACGACTCATTAATAAAACACAAAAGACAGTCCCTTGTGGGCCATTATGCCAGTTAAAAATGGCTCAAATCAATATTAGATCTTTCAAGTCAAGTCAAGTCAAGTCACCTTTATTTGTATAGCACCTTATACAATACTGGTTGTGTCAAAGCAGCTTTACAGTGTTAAACAGGAAAATAGATTGTCAATAATGCAAGAAGACAATAACAGTCTTTTTTCCAGCTAAAGTCAGTTCATTGATAGTTTATTTCAGTTTATTTATTGAATTGACTCGATAAGTTGCCATGTAATAAGTTTAATAATATAATGCTATTTTAAAATACACCCCTTACAGGTGATACAACACCATGTAGGGATATATTTTGTGATAATGACATATCATTTGCATTATCCCTTAAACCAAGGCATTTTTATGGGTCCAAGCACCGAAGGTGCTGGAACCCTTATTGTATTTATACTGATTTTCTTCTTCTTCTTCATCTTCCCAAATCCCCCCAGGTGCACTACTCAGGTGCAGACACACACCCTGATTGGACCATAGGTGGCGCTTTAATAAGTACTTTTACATTTTTGCTCATATCTCCACACCCATACAGGTTACAATCAAAATTCTGAACAAAAAGTATATCTAGGATTTTTTTGCCATGCATAAAATTATTCCACCATTTTGAGCTTTGTTATAAACCTACTTTTTCAAACTCTTCCTAGACCATTTGTCATCAGTTTGTCATCAAAAATTGTATGTGTCATCTAGAGACCCTGATGACAAAAAGTTATCAAAAGAATTTGGATTCATCAAATGGTTTAGAAGATATAGTTTAATAAGTGTATGGAGCCGTGGCTACAAAATTAACTGGTGTATATCTTCTGAAAGGTTTGACTGATTAAAATTCTTCTGATAACTTTTTGTCATTAGTGTCTATAGATTATACATGCAAAATTTAATGAGAATCAGTCAAGTGGTTTTAGAGAAGATTGCAAAAGAAATTTTTGCCAACTCAAAATGGCCGACGGACTACACGTTACGTTGTATCACAATGTTGTCTGCTAGAGGGAACCACAGGATAAGAAATCTATTTTTTTTCTATCAGTTTCCATCACTCTGAATAACAAAGAAGTGTTTTTACAGAGGTAAATGTTTACAGAGATAAAATAAAACACCTACGTATGCTTCATATCCTTAGGTATATTTTTGTCTTTATTTTACATTACATTTTTCCAATTGACATAGTTTAAGTAGATTTTTTTGAGGGTTTCAGCAATTTATCAGGGATCAACAGTTAATATCAATGTGAATGACACATGAATGTTCAAAAATTGAAATCATTGTAAATGTTTCAGAGTAATTATGTAGTAAACAAGAAAAAAAAATATTATGGTTTCATATGGATGAATAAACTTTATTAGTTTGCAAAGAAATGTGATCTCCAAAGCACTTAAAGGTCATTAAATGCTACCTTCATTTTTATATATCCTAATGATATTAAAAAACATTTGTCAAATTGCATGACATGACTTTATGTATTACTGTCCATTTAAAATGAGAAGTTGCCTCTTTTTTATTGTTGTAGCCTGCATATTGCTGCAGTCAAGTGTGCTCATTGCTCACGAATTTCTGATGTCCTCCTGGGTGCCAAGAGCAATTAATAGAATAATATGTCAGCCATTTATCAATTGAAATGAGAGATGGAGGCCTTAATTACAAATGTTGTCCACCAGAGGGAGGCACAAGACAACAAATTATTTTAGATCGCATAATTTAAAATCTGTGTAAATGGTTAAATAGATTAACTATGCATAAAATTCATTATAGATTCATAAAGTTAAATAAAGGCTAAAACAATACAAGTCTAATCTGTGATCTCCAAAATACCTTCATATTCATATATACTAAATTCAGAAAACATTTGTCAAGTTGTCAGTCAGACATGACTGTCACTGTAGGGTATATACAGTCAAGTTAAAATGAAGAGACAATATTATTTGTCTATTGTACATAGAACATACAATAATACTTTGATAGAAAGACACTTAAATGTACATTTACATTTAGTCATTTAGCAGACGCTTTTACAAATGATGACAATAGAAGCAATCAAGACCAACAAAAGAGCAATAATATGCAATAATAGGCTATATCAATAACTGTATCCTCTACAAGGCGTTCGTGCTTGGATCCCGATGATCGCCACTTGCTGTTATTTTTTAGATTTATTTCCAAAATAAATGTAATGTCTGCTCTTTTTTACACTTTAAAGTTACGTGAACAATCATATTTATATAACATAAATCAATTTAAGAAACTAAACAAACATGCGCCATGGTATTAAACATACAAATATGATCATCTGAAATTTTAGTGTGCAGGTCTGATGTTGGATGCGTTGTGTGTGACAGAGTGTATACACAAGGGAGGAGGGAACCAATCCTCCCAAACTCCTACACAAGCGCCTCCAACACCTAATCATTAAAACACACACACCCTATCTCCACGGATACTAAACGTATACACAACACCGCGTCCATCATAGCCTCGAAACTTCGGGCTTGAACATCATCACACACCACGCGTGAGTATCTTTAACCAGATGTAATGGATATATCGGAGCGCGAACGTCAGTTGTTGCCCCTTTTGTTTAGGGGCTTGAGCAGGGGGCCATGTTGTAAGTTTGTCAGCTAAAAAACATGGGGCTTTATTTAATTAATTCTTATGAAATATCCTCTTTGTTGGGTTCATAACAGTGAGGTCAACGTGTAGAGATATATAATTATTTGTAAATGTTTTTTAAGGGATCCATTCGTTGTAAAACGAACTTTTAGAGGTGAGAGGCCTGTTGAGTTTTATCAACAAAGCGTCTCGTGCACTAGCAAAAACACATTTAAGTTGGACTTGCATGGATGTTTAGTAGACATTTGGATTTGTGATTTAGTTGCAATGTCGCATATCAGTTCAATGACGCTGTTGAATTTTAAGTAGAAATAAAGCAGGTTTTGTTTTAAAACAAGGCCTATCTTGCGCTGACTGTTAGCGAGGTGCTAGCTGGCGGAGTCAAGGGCCCCGCGGTGCTAACAAACAACAGACAGGCCGATCAAATAAAAACACTACTGAGACCGAACATTTAAGAATTTAGTTGTGAGCTCGAAGCTTTAAAGGCAAAACGGCATAATTTTACATCTAATATAAAGCCTACATTCACCGCCGTCCATCATTTGTGTGTTAGCCGTTAGCATTCTGCTATCCCCGTACACCCAAAACATTCACATAAAAACGCGCGATTTCAGGTCTTTATTAAAACGCATTTTCTAAATCTAGAATCTTATGCCTTTAAAGTGTCTTGCTTTTAAAAACTGAGTAAGCAAGGTTTAGTTATTGGACACATTTCTGGAGATAATTGGAAATTATTCTGCTGCTTTGTTCTCTTGACAATTTGTGTAGTTTTATTTATTTGTATTTGATTGCATAGCTTAGTTATGTATGAGACACATATACTTTATATATATCTGCTGTTTACTGGTTACTTTGTTTACATTTACATTTGTTGGCTTTTATGTAATACAACTTGCATAACCAACATAAGATTTTTCATATGGTTTTATTTCTCAGTGATTCTGTATTCCAAATACTTCAAGATAAACAATTTAGTCAATTATTGTGGAATAAAATGAAGATTTATCATTAATCCCATGGAGGCAAATAAACTTTTTTTTTTTAAATTGCATTTAACTTCCCTGGTCCTTAAAACAGCACATTTTTCTGCAGGTTTTTCCGTGGAATGAGCATTCCATGCAGCATCTTAGGTATGAATGACGTGGCCTGGCAGGAGACGCGAGGCGGGATGCTGCACACAAATGGTGTGCCAGAGACCGGAGGGGTCAGAGTCCGTGCAGGGTGTTCTCTAGCCACAGTAGGAGGTGCTGGGCAGGGACCTGGAGGAGCTCACCCTCTGCCAGGTATGGAGCGGGTGGCAAATCCCAACCCCGGCACCCCTCAGCCTCCACTGAGTGGTCGTTCCCAAGATGATGCCACTGTGGGCTATTGTTTTCAAAGGAAGCCTGGGGAGCAGTTAGCAGTTGCTTGCACTGCAAGCAAACACCGCTGGCCCACTGGTGATGGAAACCATGTTGACCAGGTAAGAAAGACCTCAGTCTAACCCTAATGCAAAGGAATGTGAACATGGGCGCAAAGACTGTTTAATTAAATGTCACACCGACATAACATACTTATTTGAAACAACATACTTATTTTGATTTGTACTTATTAAAATATAGGAAAAAAATGTTGGGGCTGCACTGTGATCCTTAAATAGTCTTTTATAGACATCTAATGATTCTTGCTCTATATGCCTGATAAGATTTTTTTGCTATATAAACTGTTGTTGCACTGAATGGCATTTTAGTGGGTGTCTTCTGTAAATCATGGCAAAAAATTATAGTCATTTTTTTGCTCAGAAAATATAAAATTAAATGTGGTGCAATCTAGTGTATATATAAACACTGCATATATATATATATATATATATATATATATAGTAAGGGAGACAGGTTATATTTAGCTCACAGGGAATTATT